AGGGTTTAGGGTTTAGGAAACTTGGGAGACGAGGGCGAGGGGTTGCAAGGGCTCCCCAGACTGGCTTTCACAACGGTACCATCGCCGACGCGCTATTGCACGGCAAACCCTGAACCCTGAACCCTAAACCCTAAACCCTAAACCCCTAAACCCTAAAGCCTGAACCCTGAGCCCGATGCCCTGAACCCCAAAAGCTCTCCAGGAGGAGCTGCCTTTGCCACCTCCCTCGAAAGAGACTGAGGCCAGGTACCTGCAAAGAGCTCGCCATAAAGAAGGGTTTAGGGTTTAGGGTTTAGGGTTTAGGGTTTAGGGAGCAGGAGTTTAGGGGTGTCGGGTTAGGGGTTTGGGGTTGAGGGGCTTAAGGCTTAGGATATTTCGGAGGGCTCCTCAAATTGGAGATCCTTAAAATGATTCTGAATACCTTTCAAAGAAACATTAGTTAGAGAGAGAACGTTGATATCATGAAAGGCAAACCCCATAACTAGCTGGTATTGGGCTCGCCTGTGCTGAATCTTAGGGATGCTTTCCACTTGCCATCCACCTGTACTGAAGCCGAAGCTTTGCAAATAAAAATCCCTGAAGGCTTTGCCCGATCCCTCAACCCTAAACCCAAACAATGACTTGCAGGATTGTTTCTGCGTGCTGCCTGTGCGTACCACATGCCCCGAAACCCCCTGTTAGTTGTTCAGTGGGAACCTTTTGTGCAACGGCTCTTCTGGTAACCCTCATACTACCTAAACTTCAGGTTCCTTTGAAGCTGTGGAAAAACTGCACCTTAGAGCACAAACGTGTTGCGAGGCTCCGGCGAAGCCGTGTGCCGAGGTCCTTAGAACGGGCCCAGGGGCGGGCGCGAAGAGCCTCGAGGATCAGGGTTTTGGGTGTTAGATTTTTAGGGGGCATGGGCATGGGGTTTGCTCTCGGGATTCGGGGTTTAGGGGTTCAAAGAAGCCTGTTCAGGGATTGTCATGAGGTTTAGCTTTTTGGAATTTGCCGCAGGAGTTGGGGTTTCGAGCGTTTTTTTTTGTTTTGTTTTGCAGTGTGGAAGGCTTGATCAAGGTTGGTCGAGTCGTGGGGACCCGCAGGCGCTCCTCGATCGCCTTCTTCGGCTTCTGCGCGAACACAAGCTGTTCAGTGCTAGGGTTTGCACAAAAAGAGTTTGAGCACTGCGGGATTGGGGTTCGCCCACATCTGCGGCTTCTGTATCCCGATATCTAAGCTCCAGCGATGATGGGGTTAAGGGTTGGGGCGCTCAGCACGAAGCTGTTGTGCAAACAAGCTGGAAATTCATAGCGCACGGTAGAGCTCCGCATAAGAAGGAGCTCATCGGATGGAATGCAGCATCCTGGCAGCACAGTACTATGAGGATCCTCTTATGATCGACGCGTGGTGGCTTTCGACGAGTCGGAAGTTCGTAGAGGAAGCAGAAAGGATCCCGAACTCCGGAACTTGGAAGAAGACCCTACGCCCCAAACCCATGGATGGTAGAACAGGAGCTCAAAACAGCCCCAAACCTTATACCCAACACCCTCAAGCCCTAATCAAAGACCCCTGATCCTCGGGGTTCCCTTGTAGTACTTAAAGGATCATGGGACTTAGTAAGTAGGGTGATAACTAAGGAACTAAGGTAACTATACTTATAATCCCAACTAAGGGACTGAGAGGCAGAAGTTTTTGGGGCTTCGGGTTGAAGATTGGGGTTTAGGGTTTAGGGTTTAGGGGTATTTAGGGGTATTTAGGGGTTTAGGGGTTTAGGGGTTTAGGGGTTTAGGGGTTTAGGGGTTTAGGGGTTTGGGAGGTTGAGCCCGAACTATGCCCTGCGCTCCAAGTAAGATCTGTAGCCTGGCTACTACCGAGGATTAGGGCGTATGATTGGGGCTTAGGCAGAAGTTGGGGGCTTCGGGTTCAAGCTTGGAGCTTAGGGTTTAGGGTTTAAGGTTTATAGGGTTTAGGGAGCTCACGGTTTAGGGTGGAAGCTTCGGGGTTGGAGCTTAGGATCCAGGGTGCGGGGCACGCTCAGGAATTGACGCAGCAGTACTGCCAGCTGATGGCAGACGTGTCCACTTACATACGGCAGATCCAGGACCCGTGTCTGCGGCGATGTAATCCGGGAACCGTGGAGTGTCTGAGTGAAGAGTAAAAGTCCCTTTATCCCGAAACCTCATGATTCTTCCTGGAGCTTTTTGCTAAAAGCCCGCAAAAACTCAAAGCCCTGACATACACCTTCTACGCCTTTTTTTGTCCTGGTCGTTTTCGCGTCAAGCAGCGAGGCGACAGGGGTTCTTACAATTACGTTCGGTGTGAGTCGGTTCTGGTTGGTGCACAGTGCGGTGCGCCTTTCGGCCTGCCGGCCTAAACCCAAAGCCCTAAACCGTAAACCCTAAGCCCGAAACCCCTAAACCCCTAAACCCCCAAACCCTAAACCCCTAAACCCAAAGCCCTAAACCCCTAAATCCCTAAACCCCCAAACCCCAAACCCCAAACCCCGAAACCCTAAACCCCAAAAAGCGGGGAGCCCAGCGTCCTCAGGCGCTCGTGGACCGTCTTGTGGTGGGTCTCATCCACTGCCACCGCCCTGACGGTTTA